CACACATATGTACATACACAGTACATGTGATGGCACAGCAGGTAGTACACACATATGTACATACACAGTGTGCTGCAGGCCTCAGAGCAGTATGGGAAGAGCACAACAGAACAAGCATGGATTTGAGATTGCAAACAGAGAAGAAGAAATAGGCCCTGCCCATGTTCTTTCCCTTCTGTCTGTGTTGGCGCAGCAGAGGAGCAGCACTACATGGCCTCCCGAGCTCGCGAGCCCCGCTCTGCACTCCCTCATTCCTGACAACCTCGGCTGAGAGCGCCCGCAGCAGTCCTTCCCACCCCTGTGTCTCCTTAGGCCGGAACTTAGCTGGTGGAAGGAGCTTAGGCCTTCCCTTCTGTGCCTTCTTCTTCCTCTTCCTGGGAAGCAAGGTTCCCAGACGCCAAAAGCCTACAGAAGCCTGGCCCTAGAACGAAAATAAGTAGGGAAAAAAGCAAAGAAAAAAAGCCAAGCCATCTGCAACCCAAGCTCTGGAGGCTGAGGCAAGAGGACCTGCCTGAGTTGGAGGCCAGCTTGGGCTACGTAAGCAAGAGCAAGGCCAGTCAGCACTATAGAGTGAAACCCTGTCTCAAAACAAAAACAAAAATCCTAGGACCACAAAAAAAAAATCAGATCTCTTCCTTATAATAATTTCACCTACCATACTCACTTATATGGTCAGTTAGATGCTTCTTTGAGGCTACGTTTTGCTAGCTTTCTGGGTCTCTTTTTTTAAAGACCATATAATGAAGTTTGTGAAATGAAGTAAACATGTATATCATTTTCAGAAAGAGTAAAACCACTGTTATTATTTTATGCACACAGCTAGACATACAAACAGGAACAGTTTAACATGAAAAGAGAAAGTGAAAAGCTCAAACCTTTCAACTACTTCTATGTCAAAGCAGAATCGTTTGTCAATCGAATCTGTCTTTCGTCGGATACAAGATTTTAACTTAAACATTTCTGGTGAGCTAGTAACAAGGCCATTCTGAAACGAGAGGGCAGCACATCACTAACATGACGAGGTGAACTGAAATATACTGTACACATGACTAAGCTGTCAAAATGGTAAGTTATGCCCGAAGACCATAACCCTTTTATTCTAGCATTAGCTGTTCCATTATGTCAAGTCATTGATTAATAATGTATACACGTGTAATTTCAAAGAATTCTGTGACATGCCTGTCTAATACTTTTCAACACATTTATTTATACTGTTAAGCTGTACTGCCCAAGTCCTTACCACTGCAGGGATGCAGCACTGTTGCTGTTCATCGAAATTTCACAGATTGTTACGAGATTATTATGATGTTAGTGTGTCTCTGAATTAGTGCTTCACAGTATCAAATGAGAGCTACATCAGTCACCAAAGGGCTAGCCGAGTAGTAAGTCACGGCATGCACTTAGAGTGCTGCCCTGCCTGGCACCCCATGTGATCGCTTTGGTGCTAACCAAATGCTACTATGCAATTAAAGTAGAAAAAAGAATGCAGGCTCAATGTATAGGGCATCTATCTCTGAAATGCAATTTTATCCAATATCTGATTAATTGTATTTGGTTACAAATCTCATAGATTCATTAACAAAACTTTGGTTTGATTTATTTACATTATTAACTCCCTATCATGTAAGTTTGCTTTCTGGCAATTATTACTCTAAAAAATAGAAATTAGCTGTGGTAATCACACTTACTAACTTATGATGCTAGCAATCTATGGTTTCTTTTCTGGAATGTTCTCTTTTATTTTATGTCTTTTGGTTTGAAGTATTCGACTCTGATGAATGCCCAAGCATAATAAGTTTCGGCTGGTGTGTTTGAGTATGTGCCTAACTTTGATCAAACTATACTTCTGCCATGTTCTATACTAGAAATTAGCTGTGTGAATTCACTTACTGTTAGAAATGTATTCTGGATCTGTTGAGATAACATCAGATTAATTATCCCTAAGACAACTCCCAGGATTCTTAGCGCAAGCTCTAACAATCCACTTCACAAGTGCAATCATTTGCTGTAGTCCTATCTTCACTCACAAATGCACAGTGCATTTGCAAAGCTCCCAGCAGCGTTTCCTTGGACAGCACACCCATGTCCTGTACTGCTGACTGGCCGGGCAAGACACTCAATGTCCAAGCTCCTCTTGGGCCGAGTGAACGCTGACTGGCTGCTTCTGAGAAGCTGACTGGCCAGTGATTTCGTGAGCAACATGGTGCAGAAGAGGCAAGGGCAACCGTGGTGCCCTGGGGAAGGTGCCGAACCTGGCAGCCCCAGAAGCCTTCACTGGGCCCCAGTGCAGAGCAGTAACTGTGTGGCCAGGGTGGGGGTGACACCTCTGCAGTGTCTTGAGGGCTTCTGCCCTTGCTCAATTGCTTATAACAAGGCCAACTCAAAGGAAAACCCTGTCAGTACCCTCACTGAAATGAGAAAGCTTTTGGACTTTTTCATTTTTTAAGAACTCATTCACATTATTAGAAAGTACACACAATATTCTGTTTTACTTCCTTACTTAATAAGAAAGCTCAGAATTTTAAAAAAAGAACAACCAACCAGAAGTAACTCACCATTTTCCCACTGGATTTCATTTCTGAAACACTCATCGTAAATGTTTTACTTCCTTTATCATATGCACAGTAATGTTTAACCCATGTGAAACCAAGCGGTCCTAACAAGGAAACAAAAGCATTCGCGGTGTTAATAGATTACTTCACGTCATCACACAGCTGAGGCCCTCCATGTTAGCTTGGAATCCTTACTGTGTCAAAGGCCCGATGAGGGATAGTAGCAGAGGATTCAGGGACTTAGAATCAAACAACTTGACTTCACTTATGAATTCCTACTGGCTGCAAGTTCATAAGCTGGTTCGGCTCTGAACTTCAGCGCTCAGCCGTACGGCTGGTCTTCCATATCTGCAGCTTCTGGACTCCCTCAACTAACTGCTGATTCAAAGTACATGAAAGAAAATCTGGACCTGCACTGAACATTGCTTTTCACTGTTCCTTAAGCAATACACTATAGCCATTATTCATATCATATTGTATCAGGTATTATAAGCAACTGAGAGATGATTTAAAGTATAGAAAAGGACACTCATAGAGCATACCAAAATTTGTGTCACTTTGAGACTTCAGCATCTATGGACTTCGGAGTCCACAGGGGATTCTGGAACTGGTCCCCTAAAGATGCTGAGACAAGTACTTGTTTGTACTCCACAGAGGGAGGACAACAAATGGCATCAGTTGTGAAAAGTGACACCCTTATAGCTATTATTGTTCTTCAATGTCAAAACTACTGACATATCCTGCTGGAAGTTGACCAGTGCATTTCCCTCCTTTGTTCAAAGGTCTCCAGAGGCTCCCCACTTTATCCCAGTGAATACGGAAGAGCAAGTGGGCTGCGTGCTGCTGCGCACCCACAATCCCAGCACTTAGTGAGGTTAAAGGACCCTAAGTTGAAGCCCAGCCTGGGTAACTCAATCAGACTCTGTTGGAAAAGAATAATGATAATAACAGAGGGAGGGCTGGAGATGCAGCTCCGGGGGGAGTCCCTGGGTTCAATCCCCAGTGCTACAACGTGTATTGTCCACCTGGCACTGCCTTTGTCTCCCTCTCACCTCACATCCCTACACCCCACAGTGTGCACTGGGCTCCAGCCACAGTTCTGCCCACCCCTCTCCCAGGACACCTGCCTCACTGTTCCCCCAGCAGAACTACCTTCGCTTCAGGTATCTGTAGGACTTACACTCTTCTCTTCCAGGTCTTTTACTGAGTGCTACCTCAGCACCCAGCCTTTCCTGGGAAGATACCTAGCAGATCAACACCCTCACCTTCACCTTGACATTTCTTAGCTGTTTATTCTGAGCAGTTACAACTAATAAGAGAACTTGTGCTCATTTATCTTATGTACTGTTTGTCTTTCCCATGAGACTCTATGGCTTCATGAGAGCAGGAACACGGAACATTTAGCTGACTGGAGTATTCCTTTCTTTCATTTATGTATTTGGTATGGGTCTCACAATGCAGCTGAGACTCAAAGTGATCTTCCTGTTTTCAGCCTCCCCAGCGCTGGGATGACAAGCATGCACCACCATGCCCAGACTCGGTCCCTGGCTCACAGCACCGCACAGGGGCAGGCCTGGTACAGAATGTGGGACCAGGGATCGAAGCCTGGTCCCTGCGCTTGCCAAAGCAGGCACTTAGTCCACTGAACTATCTCGCTGGCCCTGACTAGAATATGTTTAATGTTATGGTTAACTCATACTTAACAAATATTTGACAAAGATATGAAGGAATGAATCATTCACTTTGCTTCATGACTTGCAGTTACATCCTCTTACCACTATTCTGAAAGAAACAAATTCTAATTACTCCCTAAAGATAAAAATAAGATCGGCTATTTTAAAAAAAGAAAAACAGCACGCACCCATTCATTTTCTTTTCTCCACAGTGCACCACGCTGTCACCGGGACTCTCCTGAGGGAACTGGACCTGCTCCTTACCAGCAGGCTCAGCACCTCACCTCAGGTTCTTCAGGATCATCGGCTGGCGGTTTTCCCCCAGGGAAGCCGAGTGCAGCAGTGGCTGGGAGCTGGAATGGGAGCTCGCTTTCTACACGCTTCTTCACCCAGGGACCCACCCTGCTTAGTAACACCTGGACTTCTCTAGCAAGGACTGGTCACAGCGGTATTGCTGGCTTGATTTCAAAATCATATATTTAAAAGCATGAAACTGAAAGGTAAAGAAGCACCTCTTGAGAAGTGTTTCACGAGCAATTTGAGTTATTTTTCCTTAATAATAATGTCCTTAGTATTAAATTCAACTTTAGTACTAAGCCACTCCAGCTTTTAAAATTATGGGGTGCAGTCACATACATTATAATAACAAAAGGATTCTTGTAATTAACCTCCGTTCTGTTTGGGGGCATTTCACACTATAATGCTTAACAATACCTGTTGATAATTCCATTACACGTGATATAAAAAGACTTAAAGGCTTAGAACTGGTTAGTGGAAAACAGCAGGATGGAAATCACCGGGACATGAGGACCTAATTAACGATTTAGGAAGCATGGCTAGTTATGATTTTAAAATAAAGCTACCCAATGCCTGGACTACATACCAGACCTAGGATGTGTTTTCCTGCCTCTAAGTCCAAAACCTCCTGCATTTAATCGCCAAGTTTACTGAACACACACACTGTTTTCTTTAAAGTTCTCTGGCAGAAGGCCAGGGCAGATGTTCTTAGACAAGTTAATTCTGAAGTCCCTAAAAGTGTCTGGGAAAATAAAAATTCATTAAAACTTCTGTGTTGCAAAATTAAGACTGATGACCTCACCTATCAGTCATCTCCGGCTGCCGGGACAGCCATGCGGGGAGTGGGTGGGAGCCTACGTTTACTGAGCACTTACTAAGGGCCTACACTTCATCTAAGAACCTTCTAAGTCAGACAGGAGAATATCTGCAAATAATAAAACTGAGCCTACCAGCTGCAGAATGGTGGTACTTTTTCAATAAATAGGGCATGTGATTACACTAGGTTATTTTTAGAATATTAGAGCCGAGTTGTTTTATTTTTTATTTTTTTTTTTTATTTTTAACATTTATTGTGTGTGTGTGTGTGTGTGTGTGTGTGTGTATGTGTATGTGTGTGGCCAGCTCAGCCCACCAGGGGGCGGGG